TTAACTGTTAACTATATGTGTGAAATTGGATGAAAAATCCTTAAACAGTATTGTATTACACTCTTTGAAATTAGATGAACTATTGATAGGTCCTTGGCCTATGATCTAATTTAGATTAGGATAGTTTTCTAGTGTATAAATACATGCTAACCTCCTTAGTTCTCTTTATTATAAAATTCTGTCTTGTCAAGAACTAATTAATTGAATTTTTCATTTTAATTGATTAAATTGCCAACTATAAAATGACTTAAAAAGCACATTTTTTATATTTGTAAAAGTCATGTTTTTTTTTTCATGTTTATCTTCATTTAAATTTTAATTTTGGAAAATGGTGATAAACTGTATTTTGTTCAATATACTGCTTCCTATCTAAATACATCGTTTTAAAAGAACAAAACAAAAAGATCCAAATACCACATGGGTCAATTCCACCAAGGGCGAGGTCTAGAAACGCAAAGGAAGATTGCTGTGCCTTCGTGGAACAACTCAGGATTACCCCTTTGAAGTGAATTCGAAATTTCTAGTTTAAACCAAGACAGTTTTAAATTTTATATATTTAATTTCACTTTAAAAAAGCACTGAAATACTGACTTTAGCTGAATTTTTATTATATTTTAGTTAATTGCCCCCTTTGAATCGTGTTTACCTACATTTTTATATTATGTCCATAGATATCATATAAATTATTACATGTTTAGCTGCCATTCAAATGTTTTATAATGAAACACAATGGAGAATTAAATTCAAGTAGGGGGACCTCATTTAGGCTTACTTTCGTGAATGTTGTTAAATCACGATCTCTTACGTATTACTGTATCAATACGTTCAAAAACCACTTCTGGCATATGGTCAACGGAAGGGAGGAGCGCATGTAAAATTATTAGGACCAATTATTGATATGGTCCTTGGGGTTTCGTATGATCCTGTATAGCAGGCAGTCATCTGCGAATAGACGTACGGCATCTGGCAAGTCGCTAAAAATAGTAGAGGGCTTAGGACTGTTCCCTGGGGTACTTCGGAGGCAACAGGGACTTCTTTTGAGGAGTCACCTTCCACTACTACCTTCATGTTTATGCAGCAGTTTCCCGTGGGGCACCGTATCGAAAGCCTTTGAGAAGTCCAATATGGTGAGGTCTCTCTGGAATCCTTTATTAAAGTTTGAAACAAAGTCTTGTATTGTAACAGCAAGTCGGGTTTCACATGAGTAGCAAGCGCGGAAGCCATGGTTGGGAGATAGGATTGCGTGATGGTCAAAGTGGTTTAGCAGAATGATGATGACAGACTATGTGCTCGAGGATCTCGCTGAAAACAGACGTCAACGAGTGGCAAGGGTGGCAATTCGCTGGTTCATGACGATCTCCCTTTTTGAACACCGATGTTCGCATTCAGCCAGTCTTCGGGAAGTATTCCTGAGTCCAGCGACCTCTGAAATGTCATAGAGACTCCAGGTGCGTATTCCCATAATACCGTGTTAGGGAGTCTAACGGGTCCAGGTATTGAAATTATTATGATATGAATAAAAACGTTGGCAATTCTAGACATTTTCTGAAAAGCTGAATAGCCTCTACTGTTATGTAACAGAGCATTTAGCGGAACTTTTACCGCCAAAATGAAATATATCTATTCAAGGGAGAGAACAAACGTTAATTAATTGGTTTAGTCTACTATTAATTAAATATCTTAAAGTTAAATGTTGAAGTCCTTGAGATTTGCTTTCTTTACAAAAAATGTAACGAGTGGCTAGGGCGTGTTTGTAGACCTCAAATTTCTGTTTTATTTAGTAGTTTTTCACAATAATGAATTTGTAGTCAAGCCACGTTGTTTAGGTTGAAGGTTATTTATAATCACAATGATCTATCCAGGCCTTTAGCCAGACTTTGTTCTAAGGGACAAGTAACATATAACCGGAAGAGCAATGATGTATGGTGTTTAGTTGCAGTATGGAATTGATCGGTTGTCAGAATTTTTTCAGTGGGATGGGCAATCTAGTTTTTCACCAATGCTGATCGGGCTGCAGTTAATGAGTAGACTTCCGCTCAGCCCCGTCGCCAGGAATGATTTGGTGCTGGGGCTCAGATTTTGAACTCAGAAAATTGGAAGAATTAAGTAAGGCTCTGAGAAGTCATTTCTGACTATTTTGAGTTGCCAAAAACATATCAAATATATATCTTTTTGATTTTGTACAAAGACACTTTAATTTGATTAATATCTGCTGAACTGAAGAAGGTTTTGCTGGGGATTAATTCTCACTTGCTGGGGCCCAGCCCCCACGAACCCAACCGTAACTATACTGGGCAGTTTCCGCTCCAGCTGCGTCTGTCAATATAAACTCAGGTCTTTGGTCATTTACATAGGCAGATTCTGTTGAATAATAATAGAGATGTCGAGTTGGTCTCTTCCCAGTGTTATTTGGCCGTGCAGGGACCGCAGATAGCGGGTGGGTGTGTGACAAAGTTGGCTTGGCCAGCATTATTTCTGAGGGCGCGTGAGTCTACACTCAGTGGTAATCCAAGAAATTTATTTTCCGCAAATGGATTACCATGATCTCATCGGAGTAAGTTTTTTTAAAATTGGAAAGATAACTCTCATTTAAAAAACTAGATGTTCTGATGTTGATTGTGAATCTGGAAGTCGATCATTGCCTGGAAGCATGAGACGTCTGGAATCCCTGATCCATTGACTAACAACTCTTTGCGCTTGGTTTTGCGTATGTTTTGTATGGTTTGATAGGCTATTTATCATTTTAGTCGCACCGCGCAATATTTTTGCAGAAAGAAGAAAATTAGCTTCTTAACACATCATAACATATTTATTGAGAATATCAAGTTAGTGTAGGAGTCGGATTTGTATTAAGATGATATTTCAGATAAGAATAATGATAGGCTTCATTAGGTTATTCGGACTAGGTCAAAGGGTAAAATTTAGGACGATTGCTGACCCGATATCATGTTGATCTACTGTTATGTTATTGAAAAAATCGATCACTTTTCAATAAACAAATGCTAAAATATCAAATGTAAGGTGAGTAGGTATTTTCCTCCGTTCTTTTCCTATTATTAATTTTCATTATTATCTATAAAGTGGTTATATATGGCTTCAGTCATGGGCCTACTATTACTAGGCTAATAAAAAATGTAACAACTATCGCATTGGGTGTCTCTCTGTACCTTGTTTGTAGAGTTGTTGATAGCCTATAGGTTTATTGACTTGTGTCATATATTTTAAAGATTAAATAAATAAGAACACTATTATTGATATACTTCTCCTTTCTTTGCTTTCTGCAAGGTTTGAATTCACATACAGGAATCTTTATTAAGCACAAAATAGGCTATGCTATAAATAATGTTAGACAACAAGTATGTGTATAATAGGCCCACACTAAAAGCGGACATCTATCTATAACTCCCTAAGATTAGTAATAAATAATATTTTAGATGCAATTTATGGCTTCTATGTAGTTTTTGCATTTCATTTGTTGATCAATATTTTTGTTAGTAGCTTTTGTGAAAGTGTAGTCCGAAACATCTGACTCTATTCCAGCCTAAGATAGCTATTGCGAAATTCTCGACTAGTGTAGGGTAAGAAAATGTAGGCCCTGATTTATGGAGATTTTCTGCAACCCTGAAGGAGCAGGTTTACTTAGCATTATTTATTTACCTCAAATCTGAAATACCCTGATGCAGGAGCATCAGCTCTAGGTCTACTTTTATTTTGTGAGTAGCCCTATCAATTGACACTATGACCTACTCTTGATCCGCAGTCTTTATTTGCCAGTGGAAGATAAGTTTCGTAAAATGCTTAGTTTTAGTGGAATTACTAGGCCCACAGACTTTCGACTGAAATTGGAATGGTGCATATCATTGCTATCAGAATCCCTGATACATGTATGAAAATTTAAAAAAACCTCTTTAAGATCTTTCAAATTGCACCATCTATATGACATACTCTGAAGGTCAAGGATCTGTACTAGATGTAGAATTGACATCGCTGAGTTTAAGATGTGTTGTGAGGATTTTTGACAGAGGATTTTGGATTTTCAAGATAAATAGTAGGCCTATGCCTAAGCTAAAATATTATTCATAAATATTTGTAGGTCAGTATGTGTCAAAAATGATATAAGTATCTAAATTTAGATATGACAGACATTGAAAGTTAAGTTTCATCAGAACTCATATATCATTTGATCATATAAGGACAACTGCTATCTTAGTTGATCATTCAAGTACAAGAGTACAATAAAAGTTAGGTCATTCATTCTAGACAAGCCTACTATCAATACCAGACAATTATTGCTACATGTACTAATTTTACATAGGGTTACTGTTATATTACCGTTATATTGGATTACCACCTTGCTATAATAGTACCAGTACCGGTACCAGTAGATGTTGGATTGATAAACAGTAAATATTCTCTTATTTTCCCTGTTTACAAGTTAAACATGCTATGTGTTTACATGTTAGATCATATAATAAGTGTTGACCTATATTTTTACTATTTTCAATTTGTCATATCTTTTAACTGACAAAATGTCATATGACTAAAATAGTAAGCCTATTACTTAGAATGAACTGAGATCTGGCTGTCACAAATATTCTTGATCCTGTTCAGTTAGGTTGCTTGTTTTGCTCATATGAATTTATGGGAAAGTTAATTCCTGTTTCGTAAACTAGATGCGTATACGAAACATGTCAGCTCTATTCAATAACAATTAACCTCTAGTGCAAGTTTTGGGTTTACAAAATTAGAACCCTTTTCATTTTCATCCTGTTATTGAATGACATTTTGTCTAACTGTGAGTTCTCTCTCTGACCAGGGTTTTTCACGTTTTGTCAAATACTACTGTTAGAACAAAATATATCTTGCCAATAGAAATCATCTAAAGCTTATTACTGTATAGTTTCCTTTTAAAGTTTATCTTTTTTTTCTAAAAATATATAGAAAAGTTTTGTATTTTCAGGATCTCTGCTATTTAAAGTTAAAGTGAAACGTTTATTATGATGGAAGAAACAGATGAAAAGACACCGTTGTTAGGGAAAGAAAATGGTCGAAACGAAGTCAATGGTTATCTTAAAACTGATGAATCTAAATTATCATCATCATTAGATAAAAATGGGTATGTACCGTGTCTCTGTATATATTTTTCTTCTAAAATGTACTAAAAAGTAAAATGTGTTTGTATAGTCGAATATAGATGTGAATACAAGTGATCATTATAAAGAAGTTCGAATTGTATTAAAGAGATTGTAAAGAGGTTTTCTAAAATTTGTATGTCTATCAGGAACACTATTGGCATCAATTTGCACCATTCCAATTTTCAATCAGCTGGTCATAAGTGGTAGCTAAGACCAAAAACCGTTTAATACGGTACATCTGTTGCTCCTGCAATTCCACCAATACAATGATAAAAGAAGTAAGAAGACACCTTTTATGAGTGACTGAAGTATTCAATTCTACGAGCTGTCGTCAAGATGACTCCTTCAGGTAAAATGATTCGAATAATATAAAAGGAACTCTTGAATTCATACATTAACTTTTCTATTTTTAGTGAAAGCAAGAAAGAGGATGTTCAATCGGCAACATTTGGTGAATTGGTAAGTGGTGCTAACAACAGTTTATTACTTAAAGGGACAGGTTCGCCATTTTGGGGGGTTGATTTGTGTCTTGAATATATGTAAATAGTCTTCAGAAGTACTAGAAATGTACGAAAATTTCTTCAAAAATATTTCAAACTAGGAATTTCTTTTCCTGTTTTTATAGGTATCTTAAAATACCAAGGTTAGAGTAACCTCCCTTCAATTATCATGAGTAGCTATTTTTTTACCTGGCAAATGTATTTAACTCAACAATCCATCACAGTCCAATAGTCATAAACACAGCTGAAGACCTATCTAGATTACTCTTAAGATCTTGGATGAGGAAGAGAATGTGTTGCAAGATTTTTTATCAAGGTTTTTCCAGGAGTTTTTACATTGACTTGGCCTTGATATGCCTTGAGTAATAATTGATATTGGTAGACTTGTCTGATAAACATTTTGTAATTTTTTTTTCAGTTTGCCTATGCTACCTGTTTGGACAAGTTCTTAATGATCATTGGAAGTTTATTTGCCATGGGTTCAGGAGCAGCCTGGCCTGTAATGACTCTAATCTTTGGTAAAATGACAAACTCCTTTATTCAAGGTGAGCATTGTGAGATATTATCTATCTAATTATTGCTAGACTAAAATCACAATTAATACATAATATAAGTTTTCAACATTCTTATTGCTGTAAGCTATAGAATACAACCTTCTTTTACAATCACTTCAAGGTTTTTGTACCAAACTTGTCAGCAGATTGAGATGCTATACCACTGAGCAATTATTGCTGTGAAATATGCATTTTATGTGAATTATGTATCTCTTAAGTGTTAGTTTGTTTTTAGAAGAATCTCAATGAAAGCACTGACCACTAGTTACTCTAGGGTCCGGCAATATAGCAAAGTATATAGAAATAAATACCTGTATTTGAATATATATCTCTTATAATATTGTCTCTAAATACTGAAATATTGCCATATCATGATATCCACCAGATATATCACCCAACCCTGAGTTATTCTTTTTTCTAACATTTTGCAGCTCCAACAAATAGCAGTATAGATAATAGCACTGCACCAAAAGATAATAAAACATTAGACCAGTTTGAAGAAGATATGACAACCTATGCTATATATTATTGTATTATTGGAGCCAGTATGTTTGTTTTATCAACTATACAGGTAATTTATACATTATTTTCATGCATTTATGTCCAAGCACAGAAGATTTGGGTATTTTTAGCTCCAATGCCCCATTACCTCATTTTTTTTCGGAAGATATCACCCCAATTTAATAGCCACAGTTAACCTCAGGGAGTTTTCACCTCCACATCAGATGGAGTGTTCACCTCCGCATCAGATGGAGTGTTTACCTCAGCATCAAATGGAGTATTCACCTTGGCCTCAAATGGAGTGTTCATCTCAGTATCAAATGCACTGTTCACCTCAGTATCAAATGGAGTGTTCACCTCAGTATCAAATGGAGTATTCACTTTGGCCTCAAATGGAGTGTTCACCTCCGCATCAGATGGAGTGTTCACATCAGCATCAAATGGAGTGTTCACCTCAGAATCAAATGCAGTGTTCACCTCAGTATCAAATGGAATGTTCACCTCCACATCAAATGTAGTATTCACCTCAGCCTCAAATGGAGTGTTAACCTCAGCATCAAATGGAGTATTCACCTCGGCCTCAAATGGAGTGTTCACCTCAGCGTCAAATGAACTATTCACTTCGGCCTCAAATGAAGTGTTCAGCTCAACTTCAAATGGAGTGTTCACTTCATCAACAAATGGAGTGTTCACTTCATCAACATATGGAATGGTCACCTCAGCATCAAATAGAGTGTTCACCTCATCAACAAATGGAGTGTTCACCTCAGCATCAAATGGAGTGTTCACCACATCAACAAATGGAGTGTTCACTTCAGCATCAAATGGAGTGTTCACCTCAGCCTCAAATGGAGTGTTCACCTCATCAATAAATGGAGTGTTCACCTCATCAACAAATGAAGTGTTCACCTCAGCATCAAATGGAGTTTTCACCTCATCAACAAATGGAGTGTTCACTTCAGTTTTAAAAGAATAGGTCGCCTTAGTTTCAAAAGAAGTGCTAAAGCTCACCTCAGGTTTAAAATGAGAGATAAGGGCGCACCATATTTTCTTAATTGACAACTTACCCTTTATCAGAGATAAAGCTAATATATGCATTTTTCACAAATACAAGTATTTTCTTACAGGTAGCATTTTGGACAATGGCTTGTGAAAGACAAACCAATAAAATACGTAAAGCGTTCTTTCAGTCTATCTTACGTCAAGATCAGGGTTGGTTTGACCAGCATCAGAGTGGGGAATTAACTACAAGATTATCTGAGTTAGTACTACTATTTACTGTTATACTTCAACTTTTAGTAAAAGAAATTAAAAAGCCAGACTAAAACTTTGTATTAATAAAACATATTAGAATGAAAGATTGCAACTTATTAATTAAGAAAGCTTAACAGACTGATTTTTTGATTTGAAAAATTCAGAAGGTATTTGAACTGCTAATTAAGAGTAGAAAAAGAAACTTATATCCTTATTTTTTCAGTGATTTAGAGAGGATAAGGGAAGGAATTGGTGATAAATTTAGTTTGTGTATCCAGTTTGTGGCACAATTTATCTCAGGGTTTGCTATAGGCTTTACTAAAAGTTGGAAGTTAACATTAGTTATGATGTCTCTAACACCATTATTAGCTGTTTGTGCTGCATTTGTAGGAAAGGTGAAATCCTTTTTTTTACAATAATTACAATATATTATAAGTAATAGGAAAATTAGTTTAACAATGACATTTATTGATATTAATAATAGTAATTAGGTAAATTAATAATGGATATATATTCATAAAGATATTAGTAAATATTATTTTTAATAATCAAAAAACTATTTAAGTCTTTGACCCAGACTAATAGATAGATTCTTTAGCTGAGGCATGTGACTACACATCCAATTGGAAGTCAAGGGGAGAAAGTGTCCAATCTGTCCTTGTTCAGCCAACACATGCTGTATAATGCATGTATTATTAGTAGTTTTTAACCTTTTTATTCAAAATTATACAGTATGTTGACATGTTATTTTATTTAATCTTAGTTGGTAGCATCTTATTCTAAAAAAGAACAGACATCCTATGCTCAAGCTGGTAGTGTTGCTGAAGAAGTTCTATCCTGTATCCGGACTGTCACATCATTTAATGGACAAAAGAAAGAAATTAATAGGTAGTATTTCTTTACTACTTCACTATATCATTCCATTGAAAATTCCTTGATTTTAATCTGGAATTGTAATCCACTGAGGATTTTGATCTGAGAAATATGTCAAAAACTCACCAAGGAATATGTCAAAAACTCACTGAGTAATATGTCAAAACTCACTGGGGAATATATATCAAAAACTTAATGAGGAATATGTCAAAAACACACCAAGAAATTTGTCAAAAACACACCAAGAAATTTGTCAAAAACTCACTGAGAAATATGTCAAAGACTCACTGAGGAATATGTCAAAAACTCACTGAGGAATATACATAGGTCAAAAACTTTTTCTTAATATGTAGAACAGCTGATCGGATGTTAAACTTTGTTTTATTTAATGATATGTTTTTTCTAGATATGCGACATCATTAGAAGAAAGTAAAAGATTGGGTATTAAAAAGTCAGTAGTTGTAGGACTAGGTGTTGGACTCACCTTTGTAGCAACTTTTGGTGCCTATGCTCTTGCATTTTGGTAAGTTCTATGATGCCAAAGTGCAGAATTTAAGTACCTTCAGATTTAGTGACATCATAAATTGATATAGCCTCTGTTGCATGCATTTCAAAATTTTGAAACACTGTAGGCCAACTGAAATTTTCGCTAATGTTCAGGCTATGAAAATATCTAAAGAAGCTAGATTTTAGAAATATTTGAAATTGAGCTCAAAATAATCATCTCAAATTTTAATGGTAATTTATTGCTTTTAGCAAAGTCCCAGTTTGTTATCGAAATGTCAATTCTTTTATTTTTTTTATTTTTTTATTTTTTTTTCGATTTTTACACACCTTCCTGAGCTTAGACTACAATAGTTGCAGCAACCATTCAACATTCACGAACCTTAGATATAGGCGACGATGTGCATAAATATATTTTGGATCTTTTTTGCAAAACCGGAAGTGCCACAGTTCAATATGTGCAAGAATAGATAATCGGCTCTAGAAGTCGTATTTTTCGGTCGATTTTCTTTGGGTTTGCATTTTTGGAATCTACTGTTAAAATCTGAAAGAATAGCAATTTCAAAATTCGAAAATTTGTCGCAGACATTTTTTGACCGATTTTCGAAATTTTTGGACCATTTTTCAGTTTTTTTCGGATTAATCTGAAATTTTGATAAAAGATGCATGTCACTAATGTAAACCATTTGACGTATTCAAAATTTTTGCGTCACTTCCGGTTAGAGTGGAAAATCGATTTTCACTTCCGGTTGAATAACTTCCAGTGTGATTGAAATATTTCAACGAAATTATGTATATCGTTATTAATCTTAATTCTATGGCCGATTTTAAAATAAAATTTAGACCGAAAAAAATACTTCGGCCGCCATTTTGATTTGATACTTTTTCATAAAACTCAAAATGGGGCTTCGGGGGAATATTGGTCAAATTTTTATGTTGGTGTATACTTTAGTCGATGGCGACAAAAATGTTGGAAATGGATTTTTGAATCTGACTTTTTGCTTTTTTGCAACTTCCGGTCGAATTTTTTCAATTTTTGAAGGCTTGTATCTCGTGACCTTGACCTTTGATGACCTTGACCTTTATAGGGTCAAAGGTCATTTACCTTGGCTATCATTTGATACTTTGACCTTTGACCCCAGACATGTACTTCCTGTTTTATAGCTATCCGTAAAAAGCCAAATTCGCAACTTTGGACTGCTCTAACACGTGACCTAATTAACCTAGAGGGTTAATTTTTTCGGTTTCTTAATGTTCTTCTCATGCACTTTACATACATATAGAACAATTGCTTTTTTAAAGTAAAATTGAAATTCGTGATTTTTTCAAATTTGAGTTTTGTTTTACCATATTTGTGTCTTTTTGATCTTGGTGTATGTATATCTTATGACCTATTTTATGGAGAACCTTGATATTTTGAATACAACTAGACGCTTTGAATATGAATTCACCTATGGCAAAAAAATTTGGTTGGGCGTGGCACATCCGGGTTGAATTACTAATTGTTTACATTTTGGGGCTGGGGCATAGGATACGTTTGTTAAAAAAGGGACTTTGCACACAATTACCTCATCCTTTTGGCCAGTTTGTGTTAACAGCTCAGTTGTTTGAGCTTTATAGTTCCAAAAAAGGAACAGGTTTTAACATTTGGATATTTTCATTTTTCGATTTTGATCTTTGTTGACATTTGTTGACCTATATCTTTTGACTTGAATAATGTAGAAGCTTGAAATTTGAAACACAACATAACATTTGGAATTAATTACCCTATGCAAAAACATTAAGGTGGGCGTGGCACATCCGGGTCATATTACTCATTATTGATATTTTTAACCAGGAGCATAACTCGCAAAGTATACGTTTGTTCAAAATGGAACTTTGCATACAATTATCTCATGAATTGAGCCACTTTGTCTTAGAATTTCGGTTGTTTCCGCTTCTTAGTTCAAAAAAAGGAACAGGTTTTGGAAATTCAAAATTTTTGACCTTGACCTTTGATGACCTTGACCTTTATTGGGTCAAAGGTCATTGACGTTGTCTATTAGTTTATGCTTTCATATTTGACCTCTGACATCTACTTTCGCTTTTATAGCTGTCCAAAAACATCCAAATTCGCAACTTTGGACTGCTCTAGCACGTGACCTAATTAACCTAGAGAGTAAATTTTTTCGGTTTCCTAATGTGCTTCTCGTGTACTTTACATAGATATATAACAATGGTTTTTTTAAAGCAAAATTGAAATTCGTGATTTTTTCAAATTTGAGTTTTTTTTTTTACAATATTTGCGACTTTTTGAGCTTAGTGTATGTATATGTTATGATCTATTTGATGTAGAACCTTGATATTTGGAATATAACTAGACACTTTGAATATGAATTCACCTATGACAAAAAACTTATGTGGGCGTGGCACATCCGGGTTGAATTACTAATTGTTTACATTTTGGGGCTGGGGCATAACTCGCATAGGATGCGTTTGTTCAAAAAGAGACTTTGCACACAATTACCTCATCCTTTTGGCCAGTATGTATTAACAGCTCAGTTGTTTCAGCTTTATAGTTTCAAGAAAGGAACGGGTTTTAACATTTGGATATTTTCATTTTTCGATTTTGACCTTTGTTGACTTTTGCTGACCTATATCTTTTGACCTCTATTATGTAGGAACTTGACATTTGGAACATAACGTAACATTTTGAATATTGATTAACTTATTCAAAAAAAATTGAGTTGGGCGCGGCACTTCCGGGTTAAATTACTCATTATTGACATTTTTGGCCAGGGGCATAACTCGCAAAGTATACATTTGTTCAAAATGGAACTTTATACACAATTACCTCATATTTTGAGCCACTTTGTCTTAGAATTTTGGTTGTTTCCGCTTCATAGTTCAAAAAAAGGAACAGGTTTTGGAAATTCAAAATTTTCAATTTTTGACCTTGACCTTTGTTGACCTTGACCTTTGTTGGATCAAACGTCATTGGCTATCTATTTATACTTTTATATTTGCTGTCCTAAGTCAACTTCTGGTTTTATAGTCGTTAGCAATTTGAAATTTTAATGGCGTATATCTCTTGATCTTGACCTTTTTAGGCCTTCCCCTTTACAAGATCAGAGGTCATTGACCTTGGCTATCTGCTGATACTTTCATTTGTGAGGTCTGACGTCCACTTCCGGTATTAAAATCTTCTAAAAAATGAAAATTTCTCAACTTTAGACTGTTCTTGCGCTTGATCTAATTATCGTGGAAGGTTGATTTTTTCAGGGTCTTTTGCATTTTGCTACATTGCCACGTGTGGTTCTAGTTTATATTTGTAATAAATATTTTTTATATGAAAACTTAAAATGATGTGGGAAACCATCTTTCACCATTATAACCCCTCTCTGAATCTAAATCTGACTATGTTTCTGTATAGGTATGGTTCAACATTAGTCAATGATTTCCAGATTAGTAATGGTGAAGATGGTATAGATCCTGGTACAGTTATGACTGTAAGTAAATTATGTAATTATTCTACTGAACATAATGTACATGGCTGTTATTCTTGGATTTTCATTTTTGTAGGAAATGATAAGGAAATTCGCCAAAAAGCAGTTATATTTACCTTGTTCAGTGTTAAGATATTTAGAAAGTTTTTATTAGATCATTTTTAAAGATTTGCTGTAATGTTTCTTTAGATACATATTTCCATCTTTTAGGTATTTTTCTGTGTCATGGTAGCATCTATGGCTCTTGGTAGTGCTAGTCCACATGCTAGTGCTGTAGCAACAGCAAAAGGGGCTGCTGCCGTTGTTTTGGATGTTATAAATAGAGTAAGTATTACTTATATTGCATCTCCTCACCATGTAATTTACCTCTATTTAAGCAGATGGTTCAGTCCAAACTGTCTGTAGCTTGTCTGATTGTCATCTGCTGGACGATGGTAGTTTCAAATACAAATATTAAATGGCTGACCATCAATATTGACAGAGGAACCTCTGGTGAAAAATTGAGAATTATATATCACCGTCTATAATGCACACCTCCGGTTGGTCAAGCTCTATCTATCACCTGACTACACACTATACACACAAATATACAGTGACTTTCAGGAAAGAGATATTCCTTTTGTTTTGATAGTAGTTTCAATTCACTTTCAATTCTTAAATTCTTCAAGTACCAATGCTTGACATTTCTTTGGAAATTAAACAAAATTTTTATTTGTAGGTTCCACCAATAGATTCAACATCAGAATTAGGAACTAAACCTGACAGAGTTAATGGTAAAATAGATTTTGTTGGTGTAGATTTTTCTTATCCAACTAGATCCAATGTCAAGGTAAGTGCTGAACGGTTTTTGTTTATAGATAGGCATAACAGTAAACATGTATTTATAATGTATACAGCTGTAAATGGGCATGGATAATTTGGTATAAATGACAAAATTTTCAAACACCTGAGCATAATGTTCAGGTATTAAAGAATTTTAATATTAGTATAGAACCAGGACAGACTGTAGCTCTAGTTGGTGCTAGTGTTATATATTAATTGTTTATATTCAGGTATTAAAGAATTTTAATATTAGTATAGAACCAGGACAGACTGTAGCTCTAGTTGGTGCTAGTGTTATATATTAATTGTTTATATTCAGGTATTAAAGAATTTTAATATTAGTATAGAACCAGGACAGACTGTAGCTCTAGTTGGTGCTAGTGTTATATATTAATTGTTTATATTCAGGTATTAAAGAATTTTAATATTAGTATAGAACCAGGACAGACTGTAGCTCTAGTTGGTATTAGTGTTATATATTAATTGTTTATATTCAGGTATTAAAGAATTTTAATATTAGTATAGAACCAGGACAGACTGTAGCTCTAGTTGGTATTAGTGTTATATATTAATTGTTTATATTCAGGTATTAAAGAATTTTAATATTAGTATAGAACCAGGACAGACTGTAGCTCTAGTTGGTGCTAGTGTTATATATTAATTGTTTATATTCAGGTATTAAAGAATTTTAATATTAGTATAGAACCAGGACAGACTGTAGCTCTAGTTGGTATTAGTGTTATATATTAATTGTTTATATTCAGGTATTAAAGAATTTTAATATTAGTATAGAACCAGGACAGACTGTAGCTCTAGTTGGTATTAGTGTTATATATTAAATGTTTATATTCAGGTATTAAAGAATTTTAATATTAGTATAGAACCAGGACAGACTGTAGCTCTAGTTGGTATTAGTGTTATATATTAATTGTTTATATTCAGGTATTAAAGAATTTTAATATTAGTATAGAACCAGGACAGACTGTAGATCTAGTTGGTATTAGTGTTATATATTAATTGTTTATATTCAGGTATTAAAGAATTTTAATATTAGTATAGAACCAGGACAGACTGTAGCTCTAGTTGGTATTAGTGTTATATATTAATTGTTTATATTCAGGTATTAAAGAATTTTAATATTAGTATAGAACCAGGACAGACTGTAGCTCTAGTTGGTGCTAGTGTTATATATTAATTGTTTATATTCAGGTATTAAAGAATTTTAATATTAGTATAGAACCAGGACAGACTGTAGCTCTAGTTGGTATTAGTGTTATATATTAATTGTTTATATTCAGGTATTAAAGAATTTTAATATTAGTATAGAACCAGGACAGACTGTAGCTCTAGTTGGTGCTAGTGTTATATATTAATTGTTTATATTCAGGTATTAAAGAATTTTAATATTAGTATAGAACCAGGACAGACTGTAGCTCTAGTTGGTATTAGTGTTATATATTAATTGTTTATATTCAGGTATTAAAGAATTTTAATATTAGTATAGAACCAGGACAGACTGTAGCTCTAGTTGGTATTAGTGTTATATATTAATTGTTTATATTCAGGTATTAAAGAATTTTAATATTAGTATAGAACCAGGACAGACTGTAGCTCTAGTTGGTATTATTTATATTCAGGTATTAAAGAATTTTAATATTAGTATAGAACCAGGACAGACTGTAGCTCTAGTTGGTATTAGTGTTATATATTAATTGTTTATATTCAGGTATTAAAGAATTTTAATATTAGTATAGAACCAGGACAGACTGTAGCTCTAGTTGGTATTAGTGTTATATATTAATTGTTTATATTCAGGTATTAAAGAATTTTAATATTAGTATAGAACCAGGACAGACTGTAGCTCTAGTTGGTATTAGTGTTATATATTAATTGTTTATATTCAGGTATTAAAGAATTTTAATATTAGTAAAGAACCAGGACAGACTGTAGCTCTAGTTGGTGCTAGTGTTATATATTAATTGTTTATATTCAGGTATTAAAGAATTTTAATATTAGTATAGAACCAGGACAGACTGTAGCTCTGGTTGGTGCTAGTGGATGTGGTAAATCAACTACTGTTAATATGATACAGAGATTTTATGATCCAACAGTTGGCAGTGTAAGTCAGTCTATGATTTTTGAATGTCTCAGTGAGTTGGGCGCTTGCTCACTTATCCTAAGGTCCAGGGTTGATTATGTCGAGAAAAGACCTTTGGATTTTTAAATCTTGATTCCCCCATTGATGCAGAGGTCAGAGGAGCTGAAAAGCATCTTGTCTTTGCACAGACCAATTAACTCATGATCCTGTTGACAGATTGTGTATATAAAGGACCCCTCAAATTAGGATATCAAAAAAGAGTAGACTAAAGGCTTTTGTCCTGATAAAATGTTCCTCACTGTAGATTGTTGCCTGTCTTCAGACACTCTATTGTATTTTATATTAGGTATATCTAGATGGTCACAATCTAAAAGACATCAATATAAAATGGTTGAGACAGAATATAGGTGTAGTGTCACAGGAACCAATATTATTTGGTCGATCAATAGCAGAAAATATCCAACTGGGTGAAATGTCTGTGACCTACAATCAGATAGTGCAGGCAGCTAAAGATGCCAATGTACATGATTTTATTAATGGATTACCTCAGGTTTGTCTTTTTTACAACCTAAGGACAAGAATGGGCTGCTCTTATGTATCTTCAGCAGCTTGTTTGTATCGGAAGGTGCAAGGTTGGATCTAAGCAATGGTTCAGATGGTATCTTTGCATATTTTACAACCCAATGTCGGTTGGTCAGTGATGCTGGTCCAAGAAGCAGAAGTATGCAGGTTTCTCTTCTCACATGACTATGTTCTCCAGCTAGGATGTCTTAAGATGTCAGATAATTGTTTGGATGAATTATAATATCAAATGGTAATGTAGGTTATTCCTTCAATTGCTTGTGCCCAGAAATAGCCTAGTAATAAAGAATAATACTTAATGCTCATAATCTGTGTAGATTTCATTTGGGCCATAGGTTGAAATAGATCAGCTGTAAGCAGAAACATTGTGGAAATCAAAGTTACAGTTATTAATGCGTAGTGAATATTAAACAGTGGCAAATTTGTTATTGTATTTTTCAGGGATATGAAACTCTGGTGGGAGAAAGAGGTGCTCAGTTATCAGGAGGACAAAAACAAAGAGTGGCTATTGCTAGAGCTTTAGTTAGAAATCCCAGAATTCTCCTCTTAGATGAAGCTACATCAGCTTTAGATTCCACTAGTGAAAAGGTTGTACAAGATGCTTTAGAAAAGGTATGATGTGTTTACATTTTATTGTCTTTGAATTTGGAAGTTTACGTTCTATTAGCTAGTCATGTCTCATTGGAAGCCTTGCTAAAAGTGTGCATACTGAAAAAATGAACTTTAGTTAGACTCTGCCATTTCCTCACTTTGATTTAACTCAAGGGTAGATTGTAATTTTAAAGCAAATACCATAATTTGATATGTTACTTACTTTTCATTTCAGGCAAGGAAAGGTCGAACTACAGTAGTAGTAGCCCACAGACTATCAACTATACAGAATGCTGATTTAATCTATGTACTAGAGAATGGTATATTAGTTGAACAAGGTAGACATGAGGAACTTATGGCTAGACAAGGTGTCTACCATCAACTCGTTACTCTACAAACTATCGGTGATATGAAAGACAATGAAGATGATGGTGAGTAATGCTTCATGCACCAATTTTAATGTGTTGATTTACAAATTTATGTGTTAAATACAGCTTTCATGAGTGATTTACAATTCCAATTTTTGATTTACAATTTCTAATTGTTGAGTTACAGTTTCTCATTTGTTGATTTACAAAATTATATGTTAAATACAGTTTTCATGAGTGATTTACAAAATTTCAGATGTACAGATATGAAATTTCCATTTGCTGCTTTAAAATTTTCAAGTGTAGATTTGTTATACAATTTTCATATGGTTATTTATGAATATGTTTTACTTGTTTCAGAATTACCAGAAGTTTTTACTCAAACTACAATGAAACGTACGATATCTCGACAAGATTCTAAACAACCCAAACAGAAAAAGGAAGAAATAACAGAGGTGTGTTTATAACTTGTTTAATGATCATTTTAACACTAAATTGCTTTGACTGAAAGGGATACAGTTAGCTGAATTATTGCTTGACTAGCTGATGAGCCTAATTTCAGTTTTCAGTGTGGTGTATCTGTGTATCTGTTTTCAAAGCATGGTATAAAAATACCCTCTAATTTGATATTTTTTAGGAGGAACCAACCTTAAAACCAAGTTTTTCCAAAATATTAAAGTCCAATGCTCCAGAGTGGCCATTTATTGTAATGGGTTGTATAGTTTCATCTTTAAATGGAGCTCTGATGCCGTTATTTGCCTTCTTTTTAAGTGAAATTATCAAGGTAGGGGATACAATTTTCTTTTTATACACTGAAAATTTAATCATTTGAATATTCAAAGAATTAAGAATGGAACAAGAGAAAGCTCACATATAATGGCAGTCGTGAAAATGCTGAGAATCCTGGTTTTGTTAATTAGAGAGCTTATTGTCTGAAGAGAGCTTCCAAAATGTGGCGTTTTTATTACAAAAAAATTTGATTGAGTTGATGCTGATAATCAACATTGATGGTACTGGTATATGTATGTATTAAATGACAGTGAGAAATAAATCTCACAATTTCATTTGCTTCTTGTAATACTCTCAATAGAAACACATATATATATATTGAATTGTTACAGACGTTTGGTTATACTGGTCAGAAGTTATTAGATGAAGGTATATTTTGGAGTTTGATGTTTTTAGGTCTTGGAGTATGTTCATTCATGTTTAATCTTATTCAGGTAGGATCCGTCATTTAACTCCCTTGTACAGTTATCATAAAACATTATCTCTGAACTTCTACTAGACTTACTTGTTTTGAAAATTTTACATTTGAAATAAACACAATGACCTACATTTCAGACAGAAAATTCTCTTCTGTAAAATTATATTTCCAAACAATAACTTTTAAATATAGATATCATTAGATGCCTAGTTGAAACTGGAAAGAATATACTGTTAGCACATGTTTATAAGGTTATTATCCTCCATGTTGCATAGCCAAATGTCCAATGTCCTGCAGAAAAGCAGGAAGTAAAACTCCATTTCATTAATATTATAGAATGTGAGTTTTGGTTCATCTGGTGAGAAGTTAACAGCTAGACTTAGATTACAATGTTTTCGATCTCTGGTACGTCAAGAAATATCTTATTTTGATGATCCTAAACATTCTACTGGAGCTTTAACCACTAGACTTGCTACGGATGCCTCTATGGTGAAAAATGTAAGTAGTTTCCTCTAGTTATACTCATGAAATATGGTCTGTTCACCAATAGTTATATCTGGTGTCACAGAAAAAAACATAACACT